GAGCTAATTTCTCATTATCAATTGAATTGTACCAAAGTAAATAATTCACTGTAGATTCCATTTTTCTTTCTTTTTTTTGTTATTTTCATTTTTGTAGATTCCATTTTTAAAAATGATTTTTGCATTTGTCAATGTCAGAGTAAGAGAATTCTTATTGGCTAGACAACTTTTTTGTCAGAAAAAGCATTCCTATTGTTTAGGCAATGAAGTTGTTCCATCAAACGTGTTTAGCTTTTTTTGTTTGTTTGTTTTCGAGGAGAAAGAACAGAAAGAACCAGGGAAACCAAAAGACATGGATAACAATCATCCTTCCAGCAGAGGAGACAAAGCCACTAAAAATGCTGCACCTACGTGTTGCCATTAATATCAAAGATCTTGTCCTCTTTCAATCATGGTGGAAAGGTGAGAAGATTTCAAATATAATTGTTCTTCTTTTACCACTCTGGCTGTTCTTCTTTTGCTGGTCTTTTAAATGTTAATATATTTTACCATCTTTTCTTTATGCTTTTCCTACTTTCCTCAAGAGATGTTATTTGTTCACTTGGTGCCATTTAAATGCTCATGATTTCTAAATCCAGACTCACTTTCCCAAATTCTCTTCTGAATTTCAGACTCACATGTCCAACTGCCTTTAAGACATCTCCTTCCTTATACCTCGTGGGCACATGATACTCAGCACATCTAAAATAAAACCTACTATTTTACATCCCATGCATGTTTCAGTATTTCTTATCTTGATTAATGTTGCCATTCATTCATTCATTCATTCACTCACTCAACCTGTAAACTGAAAAAATTTAGAAAGACTAGGTATATTGTATTTTTCCCCCTCACTTCAGCTTGGACCTCTGAAAACTTGTGATGAAACCACTAATGTAGACCACTAATGGGGAGTAATAAAAGGGTCTTAACTTATCTAGTAACATCATTTACATTTTAGAAAGATCACACTGATAAGAACGTAGCTAGCCTATAGGTAAAAAGACCAGATAGCTCCTCACTAAAAACATCCTACTGAGCACAACAGTGTGAATGTACTTATTGCCACTGAACTATACACTTAAAAATAATTAAAATGGGTCAGGCATGGTGGCTTATGACTATAATACCAGCATGTTGGGTGGCTGAGACAGAAGGACCACTTGAGGCCAGCA